CACCAGCAGGATGTCTCCTGCAGAGCAGAGGTAGGACCCTGTGGGTAGTTAAATTTTGAGCTTCCAGAGGTTTCCCTGGGAGATTCAGCCACCTGAATATCTATGGGATAGGAGGCATTTCCAATTATTTGTGCAACATTTATTTTTGCTAATTCTAGCCCAGCCAGTGAGTACTTCTGTTCTTAGCTACAAGCACATCCACAGGAAATGACAATTCTATTTGAAATACTTTTGCATTAAAAAAAAAAAAAAAAAAAAAAGGCCAGTACTTCCAAGCTCTCTGTGAGGAGGAGCACAGGAATCTGAGCCAGGAATCTCCATGGAGAGCTGCTGGAGCTGCCGACCATCTCAGCCCTGTGACTTCTGATGCTGTGGCACCACTAATTAGTGGGTGCCAGAAGGTGAGCTGGCAAGTGCCACGGCAGGTCTGTGCCAGAACCTTGGCTCACACGAAACATTCCTCCCAAGGCAAACCCTCTGTATGAAACACTGAACACTGGGCACATTCTGGGAGAAAAAGTTGCACATTCCATGGTCCTGCCTGAGCAAAATGCTGGAGTGTGTTTGTAAATGGTCGCTGGTTTGGTGGAGTGGGGAATGCTGGGAAGCAACTGGGAGGGCAGAGAAGGGAACGGCTCGACCAAGGTGGCTCCCGCCTCGTGTTTTCACTGCAGACGTCTGTCTCAGCTGGTGGTTGGTTTCTTTGAAAGCTCTTCTCAAACTGCTGTGAGCAGCCAGCAAGGAGGTTTCACCTCATTAAGGTGCTTCTGCAATTCCCAGCTGTAGGTTTGCTGCATCAATTAATGCTGTAACAGGCTACTGGAAAACATCAGGGGCCACTGTTATGAGGCCAAAGACCCTGGGTATAACCCATAGAAAAACATGATCATGAAATTAAAGCTAAGTTGGAACTTGCATTTCTGTTTCACTGAGGGGTTTTCCCACTTTTTATTGTAATTGTTTGCTTTGGTTTTGTAAGTATTTTTACTACTTTTAGCTTGGAAACAGATTTTACTGTAAATACAACTGGTTTGAGGGCAGGGGGGAGGGATTTTCTTTTAACTTTTGAGCATTACCTGCCCCTTTTGCTGAACCAGTGTTGTCTGAGTGTGTATTGAGCTGATCCCTCCCCTCGGCAGGCAGGCAGCAGCTGTCAGTCTGCTCTCGGTGCTTAACAAGCAAGATAGAAGTCTGTGTCTGCAACAGCACCCAGTCTGAGCTGAGCCTGCGCCTGGGCTTGCAGGAGCCCAAACAGAAATCACAGAACTAATTCTGGTTCTGTAGGTAAAGCCATGAGTTCCAGGGAGCAGGATGAGGGGGGTGAGAGCTGCTGGTGTTGGGGTCATTCCAGGTTTGTGGTAACACTGAGGTGGGACGTGGGTATGTGCAGATGTTTTCTCATTCTACTGTTTCTGATTGTTAGTTCTAAGGCTAAACAAGCTTGTTTTCTAGAAGTTATGCTGCTGAGAGACCAAAGTTCCTTGAAGTGAGGGGCTGCTTCCAGAGACTGGTGAGTGAAGGGTGCAGCTGTGGGATTCCTGCCTGACAGAAATCAGAATGGCTGGATGGGATCAAGACACAGGCCCACCCAGACTCATATTTTGTCTCCAATGATCTGCAGCAGTTACCAAAGAACAGGGCAGACAGATGTGGATGTGGCAGGTGGTTCGGGCAATTCTTTAGCCACAAGCAAGTAACTTTTTGCTTAATAGCTCTAATGGGCTCTTATGAATTTATCTAATCACCTTTTGCAGCCGTGTAAACTTTGGGCATAGACAACCTCCTGTGCTGATGAGGTTTAACCACAAGCTGTGTGGAAGAAGAGCTCCTTCCATTTGGTTTGATGGTTTCCACTGAGCTCCTCTGCTCAGAAGGCCCTGAGCCTGTCCCTTCAAACTTGCACTCCAGGAGTGTTTAACATTGTCAGTGATACTGTGAGACAGAACAATGTTAAACCAGATTTTGAGTGATTTAAGGTTCAGCATTAATTTTGCATTTGAACATCCGTGATGTTCAAAACCTGTGAACTTGGAACGTTGTTCCTCTGAAGGTTCCACAGCTCTGCTGCTCTTCACTGGCCACTGATAAGCCCCAAAACTGTCTCCTTCTTTCATTTGGAAAATCTCCTGAGAATTTCCACCAAGAAGTGGTGACTAACTCGATCATGAGGTGCACATATGGTGACACCTCTGCTGTGAATAAAAATAAGCTTTCCTTCACATGAAAGTTGATTTTATCATTGCTCTGTCTCTCTCAAGCCTCCTCTTCATTCCCAGGCTGGTGCTCTTCCTGGAGGAATTGTTGTTTCTTCCCCTTCATCCCTACTCCATGCAAGTGCCTGTCTCCCTGCATAGGGGACTTCTTCCAGTGCCACAGCTCCTTAAATCACTGGTTAGAGCTGCTTTCACATCCCACACACAAGAGAGAGCTTCCTCCTGCAGTGCCTTTCCCCTGCATCCACATCAGGAGTCTCCTTGACACGTTCCCAGAGATGCCTGCTCGCTAAATGATGTGATCTGTGGTGGGAGCAGCTCCTGCCTGTGTTGGAGACTTCCTAAGGCTGCCCTGGCAGCCTCCCCCTCCCGACTGATCCCTGGCATTGCACACAGCTGCGGGAGCAGCAGCTCGTGTTCTGTGTTCATGGAATAGGGATCTGACAGCCTCTGACTGCAGGAAGGGCACGGTGGAAACCTGGTCACTGCTGTACAGACACACAGCGATTTCTGCCCCTGCAGAAGGTCAGAGCACTGTGACCTGCCTGGGTTTGGTGGCTTTGTGAGAGGACTTTTATGTGAGGAAAGCTGTGGCAAAAATTGCAGGTTTGCTGATCCCACTGTTCCTTTGGGCTTGTTCCTCTCCAGTGTGTTCAGAATTAGCTCCTCAAGTAGGAGTGACAGTCCATGAGGGAGGATATAAACATCATATGGCTTCCTATTTCTCTGGAAAGATACTCAGATATGTGATCATAAGCATGGTATAAGAGCAACATGAAAATGCACTAATTCCAGCCATCCCAAAAGGCATTCCTCTCATCTTCTGCTGGATTTACCCCACTAAGTGGCTGTGGCTTTCGAGGGCTGGGTCTCTCCTGGAAGAAAGAAACAACTCAGGTCCTGTGGGGATGAACTTGGTACAGCAGAGTGGGGCTGCAGGCAACAAACTGTTATTTCTCTCGGTTTTCATGGGAATTCATTGGTACAACCCACATGGCATATACTGTTTGAGAGTCCATGGTGCTTTGGGAATGGTATAGGGAAAGAGGAGCAAATATATGACATTTAGGCCCCCACAGCCAGGTCAGCCAACCTGTTGTGTGTCTGGGGCTAAAATAGACAAAGTGCTTTCTGGAGTCAATTTTTGTATCTAGTACTTTTGATTTGCTTCTTACTGATAGTTGCTGAGAGCAGCAGAACTGCAGTTGCACATGAGCAGAGATTATCTGCCAGAAGATCCCTCCCATGGTGAGAAGCAAGGGACCTGTGTATAAACAGAAAGAATTTATGGACAGTTAGAAAATCCTCATTATTTATCATTTCCACGATTGAATTGAAACCAAAGGCCTGCGAGCATCTTTGTTTCAAAGTGAGTTAGTTCATCTAGAATCTCCTTTTAAGCAGATTTCTGCTGTCCAGGTAATCCGAGGATTAATTCTGCGAACTTATGTAGTGCTGACACGAAGGAGCTGCCCTACAGAGAGCCAGGAGAAAGGAATACATTACTTTTAATATTTCCCATTCTTCTCATAGGTTCCCCATTATTTTTTTTTATATATATATTTTTTTTTTAATGACTAAAACCGCACTGCAGTTTTAAATCTATCTTATCACCCAGTAAATACACCTAGAAACGTTTTTATCTGACAGGAGAAGAACCCAGTGGTTGTGGGTTGCTTTCCCATCGCAGAGCGGTGGGTCAGTGCCAGGGGTTCCACAGGCACAGCTCAGTGGCAGGTACAAGGCAAAAGTGAAGTGTCAGGAGGATTCCAAACAAGAGCTTGGGGAGGTTCCAGCCATTGCTGTGTTTCTCTTGGCCCCTGTGAGCTATTCGAAAGGAAGAAGGGGCAGTGACTGATGGGCCAGAGCACCTGGGGCTCCTGACATCTCACTGGCACGTTTTTCCATGTCTGACAGGGGTAGGATTCTTCTTGGGCAGGTTCCAAGTGTCAGCCAGGAATCCCCAGAGCTCACCTCTGTGCTGACAGGTCACAGAGCCAGAGCTCTGTTGAGTGATTGCATTTCCAGGTGTGGGATGAATGAAGTCTCAGGAATTTCCCTGCTATCGCTGATTCCATGATAACCTCTTTTTTTCTCTCTACCCAGGCTTGCCTAGATCCCTCCTACATTCTTCAGAAGGTTTGAGCAAAGAACACATCAAAAGGTGTAGGCATGTCTCCCACCACCTAAATCCCAGCAGCCAGGTTACCTGAAGTCAATTTTCTTTCACTGTGCCTTCAGGTGTTCCCACTGTACCCCCAAAGTACACAGCAAAACAGCCCTTGAGTAAACAGGCAAAATCAGCCCCCCCCATCCTGCTCCCTGAAACACTCTGTGCTCACAATAACCCCCCTGCTTTGATCCCTTGCCAAGAATAACACAGACAGTCTATTAAAACATCTTTAATGACATGATATAATTAAAAATATCTAACGTGCAACTCAAAGGAATGAATATGAAGCTTGTTTCTGTTTCCACACCCCTCCAAACTTGACTGACAGGTTCCAAACCTTTGTTAGTTGGATATTCCAATATTTATGTGTGTGTGTGTGTCCTGTGTATCAGTTGGGAGCACAAGTGGCAAATAATCAGATTTGAAGGGATTTGGGTGCCACGGTGGCTTTAAAAATCCTGCAAGGCACATCACTGCATGTGTGAGCATTTACATTTCTGTTTAAAGTGGCTTGAAATGCATTGGAGACACTTGTCCCGAGGCTTTTAACAGCCTGTGTGTTTTAAGTGTCTGAAGCCATGGAGAAGTGAACTCTAAATGCCTCAGTCAAAGGACAGTGTTTGTCTGAATCAATCCCTTTTCTTCACAGTAACACAGAGAGTTTGTACAGCACCTCATCTTTTAGACAAGCAGAGCAGACCAGAGGAGCTGGAATGACTGCCAAGTCCCTGAGGAATCCTGACTGTTGGATTATACAGTAACTCCGGTCATGGTCTGATATGAAAGTCAGTGTTCTGACAATTAGGGAAGCTTCTGTTCCTGAGTCTGCTCTGCTCTAAAGGACAACGTCACATGAGGCACTTCCACAGTCAGTGAGACAAGCAGGTCAGTGCAAATAAACAAACAGGTGAACCTCAGCCCAGCGAGAGCCCAGTTTTAGCAGAGGTGAAATTAAATGTGTTAATTGTTGTCCTGCTTAAAGAGCTTAAGTTGGCAATTTTAACCCTGAGTTGCCATGACTCAGCTGAGAGACAAAAGCTCAGCTGTGTGTCCGTGCCCTTTGTTTCTCCTCTGATGCTCTGTAGAGACCAAGATTAAAAAGCATTGGTTTTGAATGAGCATTCACTGGCTACTGTCCCTGGAATGGCAGCACAGGCAGAGCAGCAGTGGCAGGCAGGAAACACCTGCATTTTCCCTAGAATATGGAAGCAAGCTGGCTGTTATATTCTGACTATATTTTAATGCTCTTGCAGTCTTCCCTAGTGGAAATACCACAGGTATCATCTCTTGAGAAGGAGGCAGAGCGCTTTTTGCCAGACACCAGCTCTCCTGATTTGAGAGGATCATTCAGTACTTTACAACAGCTCAGGGCCTGCCTGCTCAGAGGCCTCGCCTCGTGCTTGACATGAGCAATCCCAGCTGTAGCCCAAGGAAGAGCTGTGCAGGCTGTTCTTGTTTGGAGGGTGAATAGCTTGCCATCCGCTGGGAATCCCAGGTTTCCTGTGGAGCAGGATCCATTGTCTCAAAGTACAGTAGTGCAAGTGCCAGCAAGCTGAAATAAGGCATGGAGGCTCTGGGAGTCCTGCAGGGAAATCACTTTCATCCTCCAGCGACTTACACCTCTGTGCTTTCCATCAGGACCATGTTGACTGTGCTCTGGCAAGAGTCTCGAGCCCCCCAGCAGTGTCAGTTGTCGTCAAAAACGCTGCTGTTCCTGTTGCTGAGGCTGTTCTCCTTGGCCATCACCCGGTACGAGATGCGCATGAAGGAGCCGGTGAGCAGCACTACAAAGAGGATCAGGAGCAGCGACCACACCCCTGGTTCAATCCCTTTGAGGATGCTGGGGCTGTCCTGGGGGATGGTGTTGGTCAGGCTCAGCAGGTACCCAAGAGTCCAGCCAGATGATCTGCCACCCATCTATTGAAATAAAATGAGGAGATGTCAGAGGAGAAGGAGCCAGTCTTGACCCCAGCTGTGTTTCTGTGCATGGGCTAAAGACCTCCTGGGCTTTATCTGAGACTGGTCCAAGGCTTGGGCTTGGAATGAAGAGCTCTCCCACTCTCTGATGGGCCTTACTGGCCCCAACCAGCCTCACCTGGCACTTCCACCACACCTCTGCCCATGGGCATGGGAGCTTCATTTAAGCTCTGGCCTGGGCAGCCACCTCTTCCCTGAGCTGTGCTGTAGTCTGGGGCTGTTCCTGCTCCCTGACTGGTTTTCCCAGGTGGGTCTCAGGTCTACACTGTGAGCAGTTCTCTCTCAGACCTTGCTTGTCTCTGGCTTTCCAGGCTGGGCTCCCTGGGGGGCCCCTGGACCTGCCTCTTCACCTTCCCTTTCCCTGATGGTGACCACGTGGCTGACTGAGCTGCATCCCTGCAGGTGGTACCAATGGCTTTGTGGGGAGTTGTGAAGGGGTCTGGGAAAGGAATTTCTTTTCCTTTGTGAAGGGGAAGGACCTGAATCAAATCCCCCCTTCCATAGGGGTTCCAGACCCTGAAACAATTTCAGACCTTGTTAGATATTAGGTTAGATTATTAGGTATTAGGAAGAAATTCTCCCCTGTGAGGGTGGGCAGGCCCTGGCACAGGTTGCCCAGAGAAGCTGTGGCTGCCCCATCCCTGGAAGTGTCCAAGGCCAGGTTGGATGGGGCTTGGAGCAACTTGGGCTGGTGGAAGGTGTCCCTGCCCATGGACAGGAACGAGATGATCTTTAAGGTTCCTTCCAAGCCAAACCCGTCTGGGATTCTGTGATTATAAGGCACTTCTAAACCCTCACTAGTAAAAAGGTGGTTACAAAGAGGCAGGGCAGCATCTTTTGGCTCAGGAAATTTTATCAGCAGTTTGTCTTCAGCATTAAGTGAAGATCAAGCTGCACCTCATTCCCTGTCACAGACCCATAAGGACGGTGTTGCTCCAGACAAGATCTGTTTTTCAGTGGGCACAAGTGTCACCTCTAGCTCTCTGACACTTCTTCTTCATCAACACTGTGAACCCACTTTGCAAAACCATCCTGCTGGAGAAGCCCAGCTGCTCGGGGCTGGTGAGTGTGGGGCCAGGCTGTCTATCCTGGGGCCAGGCTGTCTATCCTGGGGCCAGGCTGTCTATCCTGGGGCCAGGCTGGCTGTCCTGGGGCCAGGCTGGCTGTCCTGGGGCCAGGCTGTCTATCCTGGGGCCAGCCCTCCCTGGTGATGGTGACTGACCTTCTTCTGGAACGCGGTCCAAGCAGGCCGGTCCACGTCGAGCGTGAACCCCTTCGTGCTGAGATGAAAGATGAAGGCAGACACAGCACAGTACTCAGCAAGTGTATCCAGGCTTGCTTGGGACTCCCTAACCAGCTGGTGCCATTTCCCCCAAAAAAAAAAAAAAAAAAAAAGATGGGGGAAAAAATTAGAGAAATATTTAATGGGTGAGTTTCAGGCTGGCTATATAACCTCTCCTTTCCTGCTCTGGGACTGGCTGTGGGACTGGAGGAGACGTTTGTGTCCTGTGCAGCCTGGCATCACATTTCCAGCACCCACTGGGCTGGGATCTGGGAAGCAGTGTCATCTCTCAGTGCCTTTGTTCCCCTCTTATTAAGCCAGGCAGATCCAAGAGCAGCAGGACTGGCAGCCAGGTCTCCTACTGGCCTCGCTGGTGGATTGCTAGGTGTGATTCCCTGCTCTTTAATTAGACTGAGCTGGTGCTGCAGCCTTTCTCTCAGCAGGAGCAGCCTTTCCTCCATCCACAGGAGAATGATTTTGGGAGCTGCTTATGGGCTTTGCTGCCTTATTAGCAAAGCCTGTAGGAATTGTCTCATTGGGATGTTACTGTGGGTGCTCAGTCAGTGTCACTGCAGGTGGGGGTGACCTCAAAGCCAACAGCTGAGGGAAAGAACTGGCAAATTCCCCCTGGCTTGTTCTCCTTGGGCCCAGGTGAAATGGGCACATCCTTGGAGTGTGAGTGGAGCCTTAAGGAGAGGAGGATAACAGGAGAACCAAGGTGATGTACAGGAGAGAGTCGACAGCCTTCCTTGTTTACTCCCTAAAGCACAGTAAAAGGTATTTGTGGCTTTTCATTTAATTAAGTCCAGGTGTTACCAGCAGCAGCTGGGATTTGAGGGGAAGGAAGATAAGTGGAGCTCGTTTCCTCAAAGTAAAAACAACAACAACAACAACAAAAACCCAAAAACCAAACCCCAAAAAACTAAAAAAAAAACCCAGAAAACCCAAACCCCACAAAAATCAGGCAAATCCAAGTTTTTTCCTGAGGGAGCCTATAAGTTACAGCTCTGTAAATCTGAGATCTGTTGGCTTTTACAACAAGGCTGTTTCTTGCTTCCCACTCTCCCTGCACACGACGTTATTCCACAGTTACCTCTTCGAGGGACATCCCACACAGCCTCCTGACAGCCAGGCCCAAGTCAGGAGAGGGAACAGTTTCTCTCATGAAGTCCATGGCCTCAGAAATCACCTATGACAGCAGCAGAAATAACCATCAGGGGGTCTGTGCTCTGTGCCCCTGCATTGCACTCCGTGCCCAGAGGAAAAGGAGGGGCAGTGGCAGTGCCAGGGTGCCCTGGGTGTGCTGTGGTGGCGGTGGTGTCAGGACCTTGGACGGATGCAAGGAAGATGAGATCTGTTACTGTCTGGAGATGGAAACAGGTCTGTTCCACTGCAGCAGCCTTCCTGGCTCTGTTTGGGTAAGCTGACTAGTCACAGAATCATGAAATCATTTAGATTGGAGAAGATGTGTGGAAACAAGTCCAACCATCCCCCCAGCACTGCCAAGGCCACCACTAACCCATGTCCCCAAGTGCCACATCTACATGGCCTTTAAATCCCTCCAGGGATGGGGATTCCAGCACTGCCCTGGGCAGCTGTGCCAGTGCCCGACCACCCTTTTTGTGAAGAAATGTTTCCTAATATCCAACCTAAATCTTCCCCTGGCACAGCTGGAGGCCGTTCCCTCTTCTCCTGTCCTTGTTCCCTGGGAGCAGAGCCCGACCCATCCCAGCTCCCCCCTCCTGTCAGGGATTGCAGAGCCAGAAGGTCCCCCCTGAGCCTCCTTTTCTCCAGGCTGAGCCCCCCCAGCTCCCTCAGCTCCTCCTGCTTCTCCAGCCCCTTCCCCAGCTCCCTTCCCTTCCCTGGACACGCTCCAGCCCCTCAAGGTCTTTCTTGAAGTGAAGGGACCAAAACTGATCCCATGATTCAAGGTGTGGCCTCACCAGTGCTGAGGACAGGGGGATGATCCTTATGCTCCTCAGCACCACGTCCATGGGAGACTCAGGAACAGGGAGC